ATCCATCCATCCATCCATCCATCCATCCATCCATCCATCCATCCATACATCCATACATCCATCCTCCAGCTCATTCTGTGTGACCTCAAGGCAATCTAAGGCTAGATGGAATATATAGTCCCTCCAGAAGGTTCTAGGTCTTTCTCTGGCTCTCTTCCCATCAGGATGTACCTTGGAAATCCTCCAAAGTTAGAAGCTAAGGGGGGCATCCCGATCAATTGCCCGAACCACCGCATCTAAATGCAGCAGATGTTCTACACTGAGCTCCCCCCTGATGATTGAGCGCCTCATTTCTCAGGCTTAGTTCAGTCGCTATCTGGGAGAAGCTTATTTTGCCTGTTTGCATCTTAGATCTCCCTTTTTAGTCAAGATCCATATGTCATGACGGTAGGTGAAGGTCTGGACATAGATGGTTTGACAATTTGAGATTTTGCTTTTTGCTCTTCATTCACCACAACATACCAAGGCAGAGTGCGCTCATTACTACAGACGAATTCTAGATCTGTCTGTACATCTGCAGTCCCATCCTACAGTCATTTGTGAATTAGAAACCAGGCTACTTAAAATCTTCTAGAATCCCCCTTGTATATATGTTATCATGTAGTTTACATTAAATATGTGAAATATTCTGATTAATATCAGTAAAGTTCACATAAATGTGTTGCTTAAGATCTACAGAGTAATATCTGTCACATTGGTTTTAATGACTGAATTCTATTTGTTTTATCTGTGTGGCTTTGGGTTATAACAGCCTGTCGTAAACATATTTCTTACAAAAGCGTTTATGAGGTTAGAATAAGCCTCCCTACATTGATAACCCAGCCTTGTTCCCACTGCAAACCCATCTGTCTGTTTGATTGCTGCACAACAGGCTCTTTTTTATTACAAAACAGGAAGCTGCTCTCCCTGTTTCCTGCTCAGCCCAACTCCACATCCTCAGCAGCCCATGGACACTATTTTGCTATACATTCACTGTGACTCACCAGCACTGAGGTAAATTAGGCTTTCTTCAAAAAATAATGACATAAGAAATTATGGTTGGTTGGAGAAGATTTATTGCACAAAAAATCATAATGAGTGTAATAGATCACTGCAAATAAACAACTGCATTAATAAGGGCAGTGACTCTGAAGCAGATCAGTGCAGCAGCAGAGTGGAAAAAATCAGCGGGAGTGTAAACACAGGTTGTTGTTGTTGTGCGTCGTTGGTGCTTTGAGTGAAGCTATTTGGTATTTAGGTCTATTTGTTTTTCGAGAAAGCTTGACTTTTTAATAAAAAATTATCAACTTTAGAATATGCCTGAGAAGGAGGTTTAAAACCTCAACTCACTGTGAGCAGCAACTGTTTGCATCTTCCCCTCCAGCTTCAGTCAGGCAGCAATATCTTCCCATAATGTGAAAGTCTGTAGTTGAAAGCTTTGTAGGAATGTGATGTAAATGCAACTGTAGCTGTTCCAGTTTTTACATTTTAGGCCATCGTGGAACAGACACATATGTATTAAAGATCAGACACTTGGATGACAGAGACTTTAGGTGCAATCCATCCGAAGCCTCACTTTAGTGCTCAGTGAGTACTGAGGCTTCCTCTTTCAATGGCACACACTGATTAATGCATCACAGTTAAAGAGCAGAGGTCAATCCCCCTCTACATCAGGCAATCAGTCCATGGGTGCTGGCATATGATTGTCATTCTCTGATAGGTTCGCTGATACAATAGTTCAGTATAATATTTTAAAAAAAAGTACCGGTATGCATAGACTTAAACAATGAATTTATTACCAATTTCAGCCAAAAGCACTGCAAATGTCTTGTAACTAAGTGGGTGTTCAGCTCATTTAAAAACATGATGTGGTTGCACCTCTGGCCCTGTTTTTGCTGGTGCAATTATTGTGTTTTCATCTTGAGCCAATAAAACAGGGGATGATAAATTGTGCTCTGTGGCACCAACCAACGCTGTGAGCATTTAAAAGAATGTGGGTTTTTTTGTTGTTTTTTGTTGTTGTTATTGTGGATAAGCAGCAGCCCTAGCATGTAAAAATATAATCACCATGGTCAGAGGATCAGGTCTGTGTGATGTTGCTGTTATCAGAACTGATGTAACTAAGGATTAGAGCAATCAATAGCATTTCAAACTTATGTTCTTCCATGTGGCTCTCAAAGAGGGTTGCCAAATCTTCTATCTTGTCTTCATTCACAGAAAGTGTGGTTCAAACTTTGCGTGCAGATGAATACAGATTCAGGTAGGTCAAATGGAAAAGGTCAACACTACACATAAATCCAGTTTTATCTTAAGCTTAATCTGTATTTATAACACTGAATGTTGCATAAATACATTTGGGACTTAGGCAAAAAAGAATTAGATACTCTACTTACACACTAACGAATGATTTTTACTTGTAATATATTTTTTTTAAACTTTGTGTATATATTTATGGATTGACCACAAATGACAGCATCACTCACTTCAAAAGGTGCATCAGATTGCATGGAAAGCATCTGTTTATGTCTTGCTATAGCTTATATTCTAATATATTCACACATATGCCTTGATCTAAAGAAATCCATTGGATTCCAGGTTATGAGTTTAGGGCAGTGTTCCTGCTGGAAGGTGATCGCCTACCACAGAGTCAGATCTTCCAGAGATCCTAGGTGGATTTGTCACCCGTTTTGTCCATTATTTGACTCCATTTATCCTTTCCATTTTATTCATGCTGAAGAAAAGGATCCAGCGGAAGAGTATGCTCTATAGTGATCTGCAGTTTTAGTTCTCACATTTTGGTTTCATCTGAGCTCATTATGATTTGCTGTAATGTTTCACATGCTTTAAACAGTACTTCTTATGATTATCTCATTTTTTTGGGAAGTGCATTACAAATATTTAAAAGGATTTTCCCTTTTGGCCTTGGCAATTTCTCAATCTGGAGTCCTATTGTCACAAATCATCTTTTTAAGCCGTCTATTTTAGATTTAGGCTTCCAGCGATGGCACCAAAATGGAATCATTCGTTTTAGAGACCTCCTGATTGGTAATA